CACAGAGCTGTCACAGAACCACCGTGGCCTTGGCAGCTGCTGGTCCTATGCCAGGACACACACGTTCACCACGGCGAGTAGGGGGTGCACGTCCCCAGGCAGAGGCCATGTCATCCAGGTGCAGGAAGCACCAGGCAAGGACCCTTCTGTCTGCCCAGGGAGCCGGGTCAGAGGAGTCCCCAGGCCTAAAGCCGCTCCCTCCGGGCTCACCTTCAGGTCCCTTCAAGGCCAGGGGCTGGTTCACCCACCCCGGGGTGTTGCGGAAGCCTTGAGGCCCCTGAAGGCCCCAATTTCCCCTGAGGGTCATCAGTGTCCACTGGTCACCCTGCCTGCCCCCCCCCCCTTCAACCACCCCTGCTCCTCGGTCTCCTGGGGTCTGGTTCTTTCTTGCAGGCGGGGAGGAGGTGAGGGCCAGGGCCCCCATACGGCAGACCTAGTGGCACTACCCCTTTAGGCCTTGCTGTCCCTCCTCTGTCTGTCGTGGAAGGTCTTGGCCTGGGGCAGAGAAGCAGGCCGAGGTGGGAGGTGGAGTCCAGGCGGGTCTGTGGCCTGTCTGTTTTAGTTGTGCGGGATGTAGGCTGAGGGAGATGGACCCGGGGGATGGCTGCCTCCGTGGCATCTATCTCCATGGCATGTCCTCTGATGGGGCTGGATGAGCAAGGAGTCCCCAGCTCCAGCGTCTGTGGCGTGGGCAGTCCCTGTACAGAGCAGCTCAGCCATTGCCTCCTGAAGATGTTGGATGCCAGCGCCGGAGGCAGCAGCATAATGACAAAATCTTCAGAGGTGTCTGGTCCAACAGTTTAAAGGCCAAATGCAGATCTTCCAGATTTGTGTTTTCAGGGAAGAAGTGACCTTGCTGGGTGCCTGTGAGTGTGGACAGACGTCACTGCCACTGTTGGCTCCAAGAGCAGAGCTGGGGCCGCTTCATCACCACACAGCATCTTTGGGAGGAGGGCAGGTGGCCAGGCTGACCCCTGGGCTTCTCTGTGTGCTCCCAGAGACCACACAGGGAAGGCAAGGAGGGCAGCACCCTGGGAGGAGACATCTGCCCGTCTCTTCTTCATGCCCTGAGGACGGCTCAGTGGCCTGAGATGGCCCAGGACCCCTCGAATTGAGTGATGACCCACAGTTCTCGTCAGGCCGCATTCTGAATAGCATTAGGGGAACGCTCAGACGCCCCCTGCCTGGGCCCTGCTGGTGTGGGGAGGCCACGCATCGTGTCAGTTCCCACTGCGGAGGGGGGGCCAGTTCTGGCTGCCCTCCCTCCTCTTCCTCCTCGGGCCTTTTGGGATCACACATGACAATATCACCCGTGATCATGTTGCTTAATTTCTTTATCAGCTTTATCGAGATGTGATCTATACACCATTTAATTCACCCAAAGTGTGTAATTCAGCGGGTTTTGGTAGCTTCACAGAATTACGCAGCCACCACCAATTTCAGAACATTTTCTTGTCCCCAGAAAGAAACCTTTGCTCGTGAGCGGCCACCCCTGCTCTCCCTTCCCCACCCCTGCTCTCCCTTCCCCACCCCCAACCCCTACCACCCCAGAGCCCCCTCGCTTGGCCTTGCCTGGTCTGGCTGCTCCCTGCTGGGGAACCCCAACCTGCCGGCTGCGGTGCCTGGCAGCTTCCATGGAGGGTGGCATCCTCTGTGTTCCCTCGTTGGCGCAAGCCAGGGCGTGGGGTCCTCGGGTCCCCTCGTTGGTGTGGATCGGGACGTGGGTCTTTCTGTGGCTGAGGGAAGCCCACCATGTGGCTGCCACACCCATCTGCCGATGGTGCTGGGTCACGTCCACCCTGTGGAGATGATCGTGGAAAAGCCGCCGTGAACCTCAGTGCGTGAGTCCCGTGTGGATGCCTGCCTGTTGCCTGAGCGCATGCCTCGGCGTGAAAGGGCTGTGGGTCACAGGGTGACTCCATGTGAGGCCCTGCAGGCCGATGTGCAGTGCGGCTGGGTGGCTGTTTGCTCTCCAGAATCTCCTCTGGGAGCCAGGCTGGGACAGACTCCTGAGGGAAAGTCCTGGCTGGATGACAGATGCCCTGGGGATGCTTGCTTCTAGGTGTGAGGACGCCACGGGGAGCAGGGCAGGAGGACGCCACGGGGAGCAGGACTCGAGGGCACCGTGGGGCCCAGGGACACTGCTGCTTCCACCAGTGGCCCTTGTGGCTTTCTCTGTGGAAACAGTGGCTCAGCGTCAGCGCCAGTGTGGGGGTGGCCTGGCTCCAGACGGCGGGTCCTGGCGGGTCTGGGAGGCTCCTGGGCCTGCAGGCCTGCCTGTGTGGAAACCTCACGGGTGTGGCAGGGAAGCCTCCCGATGACTCAGACTGCAGGGAATTCCCTAATGATCTGGAATATTTTTACTCCTGCACTCAGGCAGTTTCCTACTGAGGACTCGGAGCTCTGATAAGGCTGAACACAAAGGCCCTTTCAGGACCAGCTGCCTTCCTTCCTGCCAGGGGCTGGGTTTTGAACAGCGCGGGGGCCGGCCCTGCCCGCCTGGGCCTCCACGGAGCCGGGAGCCTCCATGGCAATGCTCTCGCCAGCGGGACGTGGCCCTGCGTCTCCTTTCCTGAGATGTAAGGTTGTTTGCATCTTTCAGCAGCCTCAGTGCTCTGTCTTGTTCTGGAAGCAATTGCTAGACAGACATTTCTGGCCGTAAATATACATTGCCTTTGAAAGAGTTACTTTATGAGCCTTGAGCAGAAACAGAAAGCCTGCCCTCACCCTTACCCTGGTCGACCGTGAAACGGCCACAGACATCGGAGACCACGGGGAGAGGCCCTGCCTCTGAGGGGGAAGGCCACAGGCGCTGGCTCAGCCAGGGTCTTTGAGGACAGCAGGGATGTTTGTCGGTTCCCCACACTTTCGGGGGAAGTCTAAGCATATCTACTCCCACCTGCGCAGGGATTGCTGGGCAGGCGCTCCCAGGTGTGTGGTGGAGGCTGCTCCGTGGCAGGTGCTGAGCTGGGCCTGGCTGGCCACACAGACGTGGCTCCCCTTGGGGCTGCTCCGGCAAGGCTGGTTCCCCACAGGCCCACGAGGCACTGGAGGAAAAAGACACCTTCATGCCGTCGTTCCATTTGCTTTTCATGGACTCACTGCTGTGGGGCAGCCACCTGAAGGAGGCCATGGGGAGACGGCTGGAGTCCCTCTTCCTTCTCGAAACATAAAGAGAGGAACAGGCTGTGTTGCCTCAGCTGCAAAAATGGCGTCTCCTTGGGGTGTCATTAAACGCAGCGTCGTGGCCCTGTGCGCCTCAGTGTCCCTCCTGCTCAGCACCATCAACCTCCCTCCCCTTCCTGGCGCCAAAGGCCTCCACAGCCTCAGGGAAATTCCTGGGGAAGCTGAAGCTGTGACTCTGAGCTTCTCGGGCTGGGCAGAGAGCAAACCATAGCCTGTGGTGCCCCGGAGCTTCAGAGGACCACAGTCTTTTGTGGGGTGCAGACGGGGCCTCACCCCGAAGATGGGTTGTCATAAGAAAACTCCAAAAGTCGTTTTTAAAAGGTGCCAAACAGCCAGAAGACTTAGTTACACACAGAGTGATTTGGATTGTTATGAAGTGGGGGTGGAGGGGCTTCTGAGCCGCCGGGTGCATCTGGGCTGGGGGCTGCTGGGAATCTGCCGTCACCAGCACCTGTGCTGGGCTGAAAACGCTTCTTTCTTCCCGGCTGCTTGCTGCTTTGTGAAACTCAGATGCCTTCAAGCGCAACTGAGTGTATGTTTTAGTTCCCTGTTATTTTTTTCCCAGAGGAGAGATGGATGCCAGGCTCTGTCGAGTGGACTCATCTGGTGGGTGATTTGCGTGGGGACCTCGGGCGTCCCGGGCTGGTGTGGCCGGGGCTCGGCTGGGCGGCTCTGGGGTCCTGTGTGACTCACATTTCCTCTCTCCACCCTCCACGCAGACAGCAGCCCGGCACTGTAACAGAGAAAAAGGAGATTTTGTCTGATTCGTTAGTAATTGAGGGTTTGTAACAGACACGTTTTCTTCTTTGGAGAGAGAGCATAAGGATAAACTTAAGTGTGTATACCTGTAACTGTTCATTTTGGGAGCGGACTTTATTTTGGAGAAGATAAAAGAGAGAAAGAGACTGTGGGAGATTGACATCTGTTAGTTTGACATAATTGCCCCAAACTCAGCCCATCTGAGGGGCCAGGCTGTGGTGCGGCCGCCTTTGTCCATGTGCGCCTGGAGCCCCCACTCTGCCGGGCGTGGAGCAGAGAGAACAACGCGTCCTTTCACTGCACCTCTGGGAGCCTTTTCATTTTTTAAAAACATGCAAATGGCCACTGGGGAAAGGCTAAAAATACCTGTGTTTTGCATTTCTGTCTCCTGACGTGCAAGAAGTTGTCAGAGGAAGGCTCTTCGCATTTACCCAGTGGTTCCTTTGCAGAGGCAGGGCCAGCGGCCAGGCCCTCTTCCACCAACGTAGACCCCAGCACAAGCAGGCGTCGCACCCTGGCGTGGAGCCCCTGGCCCCCCCGTCGCCACTCTCACACCTCGTGCATCCCTGGGAGGCTGGGCCAGGGACTGCAGAGCCAGGCCCCAGGTCCACGCACAGATGCCCTGCACACGCTCTGATGATGGGCTACCTGCTGCCCCTCACATCTGCTCTCCCTGGAGAGGACAGGGGCATAGAAACCCTCCCGTGACCTGTCCTGAGGCTGTGAGAGGCCAGCAGATGCAGGGCCAGGACAGATTCCTGAGGATGCCCCTGCCCTGTAGTCCTTCCCACCCAGGACTGGGGTCAGAACAAGCCCTGAGCCACGTATCCTCAGCTTCCCCAGGCTCCCAGGGGAACTCTGGCGTTGAGCTTGGGGCCCCGCCTGGGCACATGGGTCCTGAGGCGCTGCCCTCAACAAAAGCCCTGGGATGGGCCTACGTGGGTCTCCTGGGGTCTCTCCGGGCTCAGGGCCCTGGGTCTGGATCACATGAGGGCTTCGGGGAGGGGGCTCCCTGCCACACAAAGTCACAGACGTTTCCTGCTCCTTTCTTCCAGATGGCCACCACGTCTGGGAGATGGAAGCGAAAACCGATCGTGACCTGTGCAAGCCGGTGAGTGCCTTTGGCGCAGCTGGAGCCACTGCGGGTCCCAGGGCTTGGGAGGCTGGGGTCTGCTGAAGCCACTGTGGGTCCCCAGGGCCTCAGGAAGGTGGGGTCCTGTTTGTTAAAATGAAACAAATAAAAATAATGCCTAGAATAACAGAACCAGTAACAAACAATCGCCAAGTACTTGCTGAAGCACCGTGTGCTGCACCCAACCTGTCAGGGTCAGGTCAGAGCCCTGGCGGCCGGGGATGGTGCCGGGCAGGCCGAGGGAAGGTCATCTCACACGGACCCTCCCGCCCTTTGCTGTCCCCTTGCTGTCACCATCACCTGGCACGGAGCAGGCCCCTGGGAGTCGGTGCTGTGCTGAGTTCCCGGGGCGTGGCCAGCACCTGCCCAGACCCAGAGCACTGAGGGCAGGGCTCTGTGGCATCCCCATGGGGACTCCTCACCCCATCCTCCGAGGCCGCCGATCGCACCAACCTCTCCTGTGATGGTGACTCAGGCACAAAAGCCTGGGCGTGGCTCCCGGACTCACGACTGGCCACAGCCTGTTAGCAGGTGGTGCATGTGTATGGGGCCGTGGCAGACGCGTTGCCAGGTTACGCTTCTGCTGTCACTGGGCCGTTTCCAGCACCCCCAGTCACCTGCCACAGCTTCCCTGGCACCATGTGCATGTGGTGGGTGCCTGAGGATAATGACCGTCCTCAGATTGGCTAGTCATGGAGATGACCTTTTGTCTGGACGGTTGTCGCTGCTCCCACATCTCCCACGAGGTGCTGGCTGCTGCGTGCGTCTCTCATAATCCAAGTGTTCATGTTTAAAGTGGTTTCTTGGAGGCAACGTCTTCTTGGTGGTGTCTTGGATCCTCTCTGATGCTGTCTTGTAATTGGCACATGTAGACCATTGATGTTTCATTGTTTGTTTTTGTTTGTTTGTTTTTGTTTTGTGAAACGGAGTTTCGCTCTTGTTGCCCAGGCTGGAGTGCAGTGGCGTGATCTCGGCTCACTGCAACCTCCACCTCCTGGGTTCAAGCGATTCTCCTGCCTCAGCTTCCCGAGTAGCTGGGATTACAGGCATGCGCCACCACACCCGGCTAATTTTGTATTTTTAGTAGAGACGGGGTTTCTCCATGTTGGTCAGGCAGGTCTCGAACTCCCAACCCCAGGTGATCCACCTGCCTCGGCCTCCCAAAGTGCTGGGATTACAGGCGTGAGCCACTGTGCCCGACCTGTTGTTTACTTATTATTGATACAGTTGGATTGATCCCTACATTGGATTCTTTGAGTGTTCTATTTAGTCCTATAAAAGCAGTAGAAATCTTTGGGCCAACGTAAGATACCACATGGCTCACAAGGGGGTTTTGAAGACATGAACGTGCTTCCAAGCTCAGCAGTGTGTGTCCCTGGGGGTCGGGGAAGTCTTGTGCACCCACTCAGTGTGTGCAGGTGGAAGCTGACCCGTTCAGAAACCTCAGGGAAGAGCCGATTTCGGGCAGCTGGAGGCAGGTGGACAGGACACCAGGGAGGGGCCTTCAGGTGGCTGGAGGCAGGTGGACAGGACACCGGGGAGGGGTCTTGAGGTCATCTGTTGGTGGGAGGGTCAGTGGCCTCCATGGAGAGCGGTGCTGGCACCTTCACTCCCTGTCTCGAAAGGCAGCTCTGTCAGAAAGCCGCGTCTTCCACCCTGCGACTTCAGCGCCCTTCCCCCGAGGGCCCATCCCCTTCCCAGAACCCTTTCCAAGTGGTTATCCGATGGAAAAGGTTCCTCCCTGGCCCTGGGTGAAGTGAGCTCACCTGCAGCTTCAGTGGTGTTCAGGCCTCACCTGAAGCTTAGGGCTCTGGTTCAATGCTGTCGCTTTTCTTGCCTTCACCTGAGAAGCCCCTCGAGGAAAGCTGGAGGCCCCAGGGCAGGCCGGCGTTCAGAGGAAGGAGTCTTGGCCTACCCTGCAGCCAGCGGGTCGGGGTGCTCAGAAGCGTCCTGGGAATGGCCGGCCACAGGCAGAAGCAGCCCGAGCTGCTGTACCAGCCTCTCCTCCCCACAGCCCATTCCCGTGTCCATACTGGCCTGCTTCCCGCAGCCCGTTGCCATGTCCATACCAGCCTCTCCTGCCCGCAGCCATTTCCTGTGCCCAGAAGGTCTGTGGCTCCCCGCTGGCTGGGGGTTTGCTGCTGGCCAGGGGGCTGGCAGCCTCTGCTCACGGGGTCGTCGCTGGGCCTCCCCGCCCACCAGGTGTCTGGTTCATTCCTTCCACTGGGCTGCCCCTGCTCTGCTCTGCGTCTATGCTGGGTACACTGACCTCCTGGCTCTCCGTCCCTCTGCCTGAGGGCATCGTAGCCTGGTGCCTGGCCTTGTGCTGCCCACCCGCCCTGGCCCTGGCTCTGTCAGGGTCTCCACAGGCTTCACCAGCCCCGCACATGCACGCGGGATGCGGGACACAGGATGTGGGACACAGGACGCTGGAGCCGGCCTGCCCTGTCCCCCTAGGCAGGGAGTGCAGGTCTGGAGGAGCTGTGAGCCTTTCCACATTGAAAACAATCCCAGCCAAGCCGACATCCACATTGTCTGTGATTTTCTGTTTTACTTTTGACACCGGCATATTTAGAAGGAAGCTTAACAAAAAGAAATTTAAGAGCACATGTGAAAAATTATGTACTTCAAGTTTACTGGTTTTTTTTTTTTTGAGACAGTCTCGCTCTGTCACCTAGATTGGAGTGCGGTGGCTCGATCTCAGCTCATTGCAGCCTCTGCCTCCCGGGTTCCAGTGATTCTCGTGCCTCAGTCTCCCAAGTAGCTAGGACTACAGGCGCCAGCCACCATGCCTGGCTAATGTTTTTGTATTTTTTTCAGTAGAGACAGGGTTTCACCATGTTGTCCAGGCTGATCTTGAACTCCTGACCTCAAGTGATCCACCTGCCTTGGCCTCCTAAAGTGCTGGGATTACAGGCGTGAGCCACCACACCTGGCCTCCTGTTACATTTTTAATCTGTTAAATGGAGTTTGCTTTAATATATTTTTTTCTCATCATAAAGGAACTTCATACTCGTCGTGGACATTTGGACAATATAAAAAAGGAAATAAAACCTAGTGTAGTCTCACCAACTTAGACGTAACCACTGCTGGCATTGGGCATGCGTCCTGCTCCATTTGCTGCTTTGTGTGTAGACATTCATGCAGACACACACATACACACATTATATACATTGTGTACATACATGTTTCTGTGTGTGTGTGTGTGCGCGCGCGCATATATATATATATATATGTTTGGGTTTTTTTTGAGACAGGGTCTTACTCTGTCATCCAAGCTGGAGTACAGTGACTTGATCACAGTTCACTGCAGCCTCGACCTCCCGTGCTGAAGCAATTCTCATGCCTCAGCCTCACCAGTAGCTGGGAACACAGGTGTGCCCTATCCTGCCCAGCTAATTTTTAAATTTTTGTAGAGATGGGGCCTCGCAGTGTTGCCCGGGCTGGTCCTGAACTCCTGGGCTCAAGCAGTCGTCCCGCCTGGGCCTCCCAAAGTGCTGGGATGACAGGTGTGAGCCACTGTGCTGCCTGTGCGTAAACAAAATGGGATGTGCTATGTCTACGGTTTTTGTACTTTCTGTAAGTAAGTGTATGAGCCTCATCTCAACAGTGGAGTTTTAAAGCAGGTTGTGTAGGTGCTGGTGCCGTTTGGAGCCTGTATTTTTTCCGGTACGGACGAGTTTCCCTCTCCCTTCCTGCTCTTCCGTGTTGCTTCTTTATCGCTTCCTTCTCTGTGTATTTAAGTAGCAGTGCTCCCACGGAGATAGTATTTTTGTCATATAATTTGTCTATTTAGAGAGATGAAGTGGGTTCGCCTGTGCCCACATCAACACAGGCCCTTCCAGTCAGGTAGGACCTAGGAAAACTGGTATGCACCGTCCAGCCTGCCCCACAGGGTCCCGCCTCCGCCTATCCAACCCGCCTCATGGGGTCCCCGCCTCCACCCCAGCCTGGCCCACAGGTTCCCGCCTCCGCCCATCCAGCCTGGCCCAACTGTATGCACCGTCCAGCCTGCCCCACAGGGCTGTCCCGCGCCATCCAACCCGCCTCGGGGCTGTCCCCGCTCCACCCCAGCCTGGCCCACAGAGCCTCTCGCTGCCATTCTTCCGCCTCATCCAGCTCACCAGCCTGGCCCACAGGTTCCCGCCTCCGCCCATCCAGCCTGGCCCACAGGTTCCCGCCTCCGCCCATCCAGCCTGGCCCACAGGTTCCCGCCTCCGCCCATCCAGCCTGGCCCACAGGTCCCCGCCTCCGCCCATCCAGCCTGGCCCACGAGGTCCTCACCTCCACCCCAGCCTGTCCCATGGGGTCCCCGCCTCCACTCCTCTCGCCACTGCCTCTGAATGCCTCCCGGCCTGTTTTTATTTCAGTCTCGTGAGACGTTTCCTTCTTGTCTCTTCCCTCAGCTGCTTGTGCTCTAAAGACCCTCCTGCTGTAGCAGCTGCCCTGAGCGCTGCTGAATTCAGAAAACAGCCCTGGAGGAAGCGTCTCTTTATCCCCCATACAAATGCTAAGACAGGCTCCGGGCGGCCAGAGCTTCCCGGGTCAGCCCAGGAGATGGCCAGGCCAGGCGAAGCCCAGACCCACAGTGCTCTGGGGGCAGCCCAGGCTCTGTGGGCATTAACAGAACTTGTGGTCCTTCCAGCAGCAGCTTCAGCTCTCCTGGGGCAGCTCTGATGAGGGGCAAAGGCAGGAAGACGCCCATGTGCCGTGGCTTCTGCCTCTTCCCAATGAACTGCAGTTAATTAAACAACACAGTCCTGCTGCCAGGAGAAAGCGTGGCCCCAAGGCACAGGGCCCCGGGGAGGGCACAGGCCGGCATGGCCCCTCTGCATCGATGTCTGGGCCTCAGCTCTTTCATTATTTGTAAATGAGAGAACCTGGACCCGAAGTTATCTTCAGTTTTCTGTCTTTAACACTCACAAGATTTTGTTGTTAACATGATTCAATCAATGTAGCTATTAAGCTAGGTGCTGTGCTGTAATTAATTATTTTAACAAAAGAAGTAATACAATGGATTTTTCTCCTGCTTGTTAAACTAAGTCATATGATTATAAAAATTAAACTTTATAGACGCGACTCACACCAAGCCTCTCCCCAAATACCAAGTGTCGCCCTCGGCAGGGATGCCCGCATCACCCCAGTCATTTAGGGTCATTAGAGCCCCGAGTAACGCTGGGGCCTAAGCAAGTGGTCGGGATGTCTGTGTCCCAGCCCCGCACCCAGCCCCGACCTCTGTGAACAGCCACACCCCATGGCTTGCGTTTCGTGTGTGTACTTGAGAGAGCATGAGTTTTGTAAACGTGCTGCTGACTCATTAAAAACATGAAAAGGTAACGGCAGCCTCCACATGCCGTCCTCGGCTGTCTGTGCCTCCGTGCCCTTGGCTGTTCCCACCCCGGGGTCTGCGGGGGTCAGGGGCCACCTCCTCTTCCTCAGTTGGAGTGAATTTGGGGTCTGGTTGAGGGCCTCGGCCATCATCAAATGTGACAAACACAAGCCCTCCCCTGAGACCGCGCCTCCAGGATGCACCTGCTCCTCCGGGGTTCACTGCAATCGTCTGAGCGGTGCTGGACCACCGACCACTTCTATCACACAGTGGCCAGCGATGGGGCCTTGGGTCATTTTCTGAAGGTCACCAACCCTTTGGCATCGGAGTAGGCAGAGCCTTTTGCATCCCCACCAGGCCCCTTGCCCAGGTGGCCCCGGGCAACCTCCACCCTCAGGCACCTCGGGTCCCAGTTCTGTTCACAGCTTCTCTTTTCCTGGCTTCTTTCCCTCTATTGACAAGATTTCAGTCTTGAGGTTGGTCCTGTTTGCTCCAGTTCTCTGAGGAAGCCTCTCGGCTCCTAGGTGTGCAAGAAGCCAAGGGCATCCCTTCCCTGTGAGTGTCCACACACAAGTGCAGGTGGCACAGAGCATCCAGGGCTGTCGTCGGCTGCTTCTGGACGCCCAGGTGGCCAGTCAGGAGTTCACCGTCACAGCGTCCCGCGCCGCCATGGAAACGCAGGGTTGCTGTGTGGCTGCCATGGCGCAGCAGCCATCGCCTGCCAGGTGCTAATTGTGCCTCCTGTGTGCCCTTCTCCTCTAGAATTCTCTGGTGGTTGAGATCCCGCCGTTTCGGAATCAGAGGATAACCAGTCCTGTTCACGTCAGTTTCTACGTCTGCAACGGGAAGAGAAAGCGAAGCCAGTACCAGCGTTTCACCTACCTTCCCGCCAACGGTAACGCCATCTTTCTAACCTTAAGCAGTGAAAATGAGCGCGTGGGGTGCTTTTTCTAAAGACGCAGAAACGACGTCGCCGTAAAGCAGCATGGCGTGTTGCACGTTTAACTGTGTGATGTCCCGTTAGTGACGCTGAGTCATCGATTCCCTGAGAAGGAAAGGAAAAGGGAAGCTTTTTTCGGATGCATTTTCCTTGGTCCCTGTTGGGGTTTGGTCGGGGGGTTGCATACTCAGATAGTCACGGTTATTCTGCTTCTTGCGAATGTATAACAGCCCAGGGGAAAACATGGCTCTTCTGCTCCAAAAAACCGAGGGGGTCCTGGTGTGCATTTGCATCCTAAAGCTGCTTCAGGTGAAAAGGCAAATAGGTACAGCTATTTTGCAGGCAACTTTAGCAATAAACTTTGCTTTTAAGCCTATAGTCCTGATGTGGTCTTTAAGGATGGTGAATGAGCTTTGTGCTGGGCGGACGTCCCCAAGACACTTCTCCAGGGGTAATTTCATCTCCTGGGACCGTGGGCATCCACGCTGGGGCACCTTCTCCTCAACCTGCCTGTCCCTTAACCGCCGTGGGAATGGCTCCTTTTCACTATAAAAAAAAACAAAAACAAAAAAATCAGCTTCTGTTTTTAACCTTTAGGGTGTTTTCTTAAAGAAAATACCATTGAGTTTGTTTTTTCAGTCCCTGAACCAGTAGAAGAGAAGGGTGTCCCCCACGCCATCCCAGGTTTCCTTTGTGGGTACAGGCCACACCCCCCAGCTCGGAGAGGACAGAGTGAGCTGTCATTCTGAGTTTTACTGTATTTTGGGTAAGCCTAGCTAACATCAACAATCTTTTTATATCGCTTTTTTTCTAAAAACTGCAGAGATTCCTATCATCGAGAGGGAAATTACACACTGCAAACTGATTGCAAAAGCAGCCGCGTTTTCTTAGCAAAATCGGGGTGTTTTGAAGGTTTCCATTTTCTCTGAACGTAAACAGCATTTGTAATAGACCAGATGCTAAGAAAGCCATCGAATCCCCATGTTCACACTGAACTGTTGGGACTCCCCGTTTTGTCAGACAAGCTCTAGAAACACCTCTCAACAGGTGGAAAATGGGGTTTCGCTGTAAAGTCGCTGTACCCTGAGAGTGTCTGTGAGACAAGCTGTAGTGGGTACGGGCAGCCCCCAGCCCAGCCCTCGCGGGGAAGAGCCTCACAGTCTGGGACCCCCTGGGATTGTGGGGAAGAGCCTCACGTTCTGGGACCCCCCTCGGGTTTACATGATCTGTGCCACCCACACTTAGTGAGCCCGACCTCTTCTTGGAACAAAGTACAATATATCTTACAGAAGAAAATATTTCATCTTTTTCTGAAAATATAATGATTGTGTCCCAATTAAACTTCAAGCGTGGTTGACCAGAAATTGAATATTTTAAAGAAAACCTAGGCCTTACAGAGAAGGGCTGCTTTCCGGAGCAGTGCATTAATTTTTTTCTTATTTGCTCGGCACCCGGCAGTCCCCACCGTGGGTTTGAGCAGCACCGAGTTTAGCACAGATCACGCGTCTCAGAGGCAAAAGAAGGGGTGTGTGGGGAGCATGCCTGCCCTTCACAGGCAGGAGGTGGAGGCCCCCAGAACCATGGCCACAGCATGGAGCCGGTGGGGTTGAGCCGCTCCTGCTACCTCCTGTCCACACCCCGCCTGGCAGCCAGCCGTCCTGTCCTACCAGCCGCGCTTCTGCCTCAGTCAGCCTCAGCTCCCCTCTCAGCTCCGTGCCCGGCGTGGACGTCTCTCCTGGACCCCCGCCCAGTGTCCCGGCTGCACCCTCCACCCGCCATCTGTCCCAGCATGGCTCAACATAGGCCAGGTTCCCCAGGCTCGCCCTGGGCACCAGCCTTCGCCCGTCCTCCCTCTCTTTGCCTCTGTCGTCTCTCCTTTCCTGGGCGAAGCACCATAGTCCCTGGGTGACCATCCCAGGCCCCCACGAGTACACTGACCAGGCCCCCAGGGGCTCCCCGGCTCCCTGTCACCCCACCTGGTCCTGAGGGCTATGACCACAACTTGCACCAGACTGTGAGCCCCTCAGGCAGAGCCCCCAGGCTGCTGCAGGGCGAGATCTCCGGTGTTGACACTGTGCCTACCTCAAGGCCGCTGTCAGTGTGGTTCTTAAATAAATAAACGAATGAATGGAAACCAGCACCCAAGTATCCGTGTTCCGTCCCGCGTCCCTGCTGCACCTCCTGCCCCTGCAACCCCGGCTGGGTCTGAGGACGCCAAGGCCACTCCAGGACCTTCATCCTCCATGCTGTGTATCTGTGTCTTGGGGTCCAGCTCGGATGGCTTCTTCCACGGGGTCTGAGAGATAGTTGCCAGCTCTGCTTCCGCAGCACCTGGAGTGGAGGCAGGACGGGTGGGTGTGGGTGGAGGACAGCAGGTTAGCAAGCCCCAGCCTGACTCAAAGCTTCTCTTGGTTTACTTTTTCCCTTTTTCACACTGTTGTGTGGGGGGTTGTTCACATTCTAGGTTTCCACTGTGCCAGTGAGCTTCGGGTCTGTGCGCCCGGGGGTCACGGCGTTGAGGGGCGGACTCTTGGGGTCATGAACTGTGCTGCTGAAATGCACAAGATGACAAAAATGAACACACTTAAACTCCAGCTGTGGAATTCCTTTCATGTACACATTTGTAAAATCAAGTCTCATTTTAGGTTTTCCTTCAAAATTGCCGTCCCCACAGGCAGGACAGGGAGGCAGCGCGGGGAGGCTGCACGGGGGAGGTGGCACGGGGAGGTGGCCCAGGGAGGCCATGGCCTGGCGTCTCTCAAGTCAGAAGGTCACAGTGGTCAGCCTCCGGGAATCACGCATCTGAGTGCAGAGGGCCCCCGGGCTCAGGTGGGGCTGAGCCTTTGGTTGATGATCTGTGATGGGGCCCAGAAGGAGAGTTCTCTTCACCCTCCCTAGCGGGGCCAGGCGTTAAATGGGGAAGAGTTCCCACCAGAATGTATCAGCTCCATGAACGGAGCAGGCACAGACCTCGAGGAGTCCTGCCGGCCGCCCCTCCTGACATCCCGGAGTGCTGCCCAGTGAGCAAAGTGGAAAGGTCGTCTGCAATTAAAGAGGCTGGAACACAGGCGCCCACAGAGAGGCTTCCTGAGCGGCTTGTCTGTCACTGTTTTTGTTTAACTGCGGCCTGAATTTAATCTCCCGGAAGGCATGTTAGGAGGGCTGAGGGATGATCTGGTACCAGGAAGGTTTGCAGTTCCAAGAGGTGATTCCAAAATGTCAGCATTGCAGGTGGAGAGAGGTGAGCCCAGAACGTGGGGACCCTGCCCAGGCGGCATCCGCGTGGCCTGGAGCTTGCGTGAGGGGTGCACTTACACCCCCAGATAGGAGCAGGCAGTGTGGAGCCACGGGCACTTTGGAGAAAGAAAACCAAGTTACAAACTCCAAATTACCTGCCAAAGTCAGTGTTTTTTTAAACAAGAAAATAAAACATGACAAATCACTGGGTCTTGTCAGGTGTTTTTGTCTGAAGTCGTTTTAGTCAGTTACCTGGAAATGCTTCCAGGGCCCCAGGGCTGGGGACATGGAGCTCTTCCCCCATCAGTGCCGAGGAGAAGCTGCTGGCGGCCCCAGGTCCCCGTGGGAACACACAGCCAGCCCTGCCTCTGCGGGGGTCCCTTTGGTGGCCAGAGCCCCCTTCCTCAGGACACACGGTCCAGCTGAGGGTCATCCGGTGACAGGGAGTGGCTGCTGTGATAATCCAGGCACAGAAACAGCTTTGACCACAGAACACGATGTCCAGGGTGCGAGGGCGTCGGGACGGATCTGCCTCAGGATCTGGGGGTCTCTCATGGGGGGTGGGCATGGGCCCCAAGACCAGACAGGAGCCAGCTGGAGACTCGGATGTCACAAAGAAGGGTAGATGCGCTTCCCGCCCCGGTTACTCACCAGCCCCTCTGCTGGCCCTGCCACGATGACCTAGGCCTGAGAATCTCTTTCTGCCTCAAGGGGTAGAAAGGGGAATAGATTCCATTACTTCCCTGTTTGCAATGGATTATTAAATCTAGCAATAACTGTGGCATCGGCGAGGTGTTGGTACAAAGGGGGCCGGGGTCCTGTGGCCTTGGATCCACCCCAGTGAAGGTCACCGGAGGGAGCTGCTCAGGGAGTGAGCCATGGGGTGGGGGAGGCTGTGAAACTGAGGTCCCTGTGCACAGAGCGCACCACCCAGGGTCAACAGCTGGGGGCGTGTCTCCGCTGGCACTTCCCAGGCCACAGAACCGGCCCCTCTAGGAAGCCTCCTCCAGATGGCGTGGCCCAGGCCCTCAGTAAGCTCAGCTGGGGCTGCGTGAGCTGAGGGGCTCAGAGCACCCTGCAAGGGATCCTCCTGGTTGCAGACAAGCAGTCCTGGGCCACTGCCTGACCTCCACGCCCTCCTGCTCAGCCCAGCAGCCTCCCCTTCCCAGGGGTTTCCCATTCTGCCTTTTCCCTGGACTTCCCGGCTCACTTTGTCCAAGTCCACTGCATATAAAGCTTGATCCTGAGACAGTGAAGTTCGTGAGGTCTCTGCAGATGCTCAGCGGCCCCAAATCGCCCTTTCATTGCCACTGGCCAACAGCACACCCTGGGTGGGCCTCGAACACCTGTGGCCTCTTCCTCTCCCCTCCCCTCACTTGTAGGCACCCTGGGGCTGGGCCTGAGCTCGGCTCTCACTGCAAAGTGAACCTGCCCATTTCAGACACCCAGGCATGGCTCCCATGTTCCCTCATCTGATCCCGCCATCATGGCAGCTGCCTCCCAGCTCCTGACGACGTCAGGTCAGCCCTGGCCTCGCGGTGCTCTGGGTTTCAGCCTTGAGACACTTTCCATGTGTCGGCTGTGGGCGCCTCGATGCACCAGGGCCTGGTCACAGGTTCTTAAAGCAGAGATTCTCCTGGCACCCCTTGTGCGCCCTCCAAGGGCCTAAAACGCAGACGACCCACACTCCATGCCCTGTCCTGTGCAGGAACCAGGGT